GGGGCGACATGGGAAAGGCGACAACGTGGTGTGGAGTTGAAGACGACGGAGAGCACGACGAAGAGCACGACGAAGACGAAGAACGGAATTGGAGGTTTTTTTTTTCAAAAACGCGTAAGGATAATGTAGGGTTTGTTAATTTTATCACACTCTTTTGGATCGGTTATTACTAATAACCGATTCAAAAGGTATTTAAATCGGTTATAAGGAATAACTGATCCAAAAGATGGTCAGCTTTTAAATCGGTTATCCGTGATAACCGATTCAAATACTTTTTGCATCGGTTATTACGGATAACTGATCCAAAAGCTAAGCGATACGCGAATTTTTTTTTTGCATTTACATCGTTTGTTTAGCTTAACGATGCAAATGAGGCAATTTATTTGGTCATTTTTGTACTAGTGATTGTTGAACGCTGATCGGGTATATCATCATATCATCCATTACATTACATTATTGTTTTTGCATTGTGCATGATTATTACTCGAGTAATTATAACATCTTTAATCATTTGCTTTCGTTAGTTTTTATATACTCCGTATGATGGTTACGTCGTCAATTTCTCATCGTGGATGATTAATTCTCCATCTTGAAAATAAATTAATTACTAATTAATTGGGATTTGCTACTTCCATGAGTCCGACAAACTATACTACAGAGTGTATTCCTATTTAAAAAATTTAAAGTTTGTTCTCAAGTAAGATGACACTATGACACACGATGTATAAGACAATGTTACGCACTCATTTTAGAAATCGGAAAGATTGCAAAGAACTCTATTACAAAAATCACAAAGAGATACTCCAACGAAGTTGCTCATTCTGGATAAGTGAGTGAATGGAGGGGGAAGAGAAGTAAGCATCCAACTCTGGTACTAGGAAACGATGACTCAGGAAAGGAAGTTCAGGATGAGGGAAGGGATTAGTGGGCAACGGTCTAGTTCCCCCTTTCCTTGTTCTCGGTACTAGGGCAGATCCGGCAAGCCAGCCTAAAAGTCAATTTTTCTTTGAAGCCCTTGCTACTTACGAATCTATTCTAGCCTTGTTGTCATAACTCGTAAGATAATCCCATCAAGAAGGGTAAGGAAAGCTACTCCTGCAACTCAACTCAAACCTAAAGAACGAATTAATAGAAATTGGAAAAATTACAAAGAACTCTATTACAAAAATGACAAAGAGATAACTAGTCATATAAGTGAGTTGTTTCTAATTCACCTTCCTTACCTTCTCAGCTCTACAAATAACTTGTTACAAAGAGAGGAGGAGATATATTCACTGTGATTCTCACAAACATTGAGTCCACACTTGAAATAGAGTAAGAATTGTATTTAGATTCAAGAGATTTATCAGCTTTAAAAGCTTGTTCTCTTCACCTGATTTGAATTATTCTTATCAGATTTTATCTGATTGGAATAAAATCTTATCTGATGTGGTCTAGTCGAGTCTGATCTCATCTGAATATAATTATGTTTAAAGTTTTATCTAATGTGATCTAATTCCGATAAGAAAAATAATACCGCATCTGTCCTACAAAACCTTTCTCATTTATTTTTTCATCTGTCTCAAAAAACATTTCGCATTTCTATTAAAAACTCACTTTTATCCATACTAATTATTAACCTACGTATCACAACATACTTTTTCACTATTTATCTACTAATCAAATCCAACTTTAATCACACATCTAAGAACATTTTTGAAAAGTTAACACCAAAATACACTCTTAAATCTATCAAAAGTCAAAAATAGAAAGATTTTATGGGACAAAAGAGGTAAGTAATAAGAATAAGTTGAACGAAACACGCTCTAATATAATTCATACTGTGTATTGTTTTGCTTATTCAAATTTACTTTTTATATCTCATATTGTGTGACCTATCAAGTACGGTTGACTCGACCAGTCTTAGTTTGTTTATACCCAGTGGAATTTACACGTTAAATGTAAGTGTTTCAAAAAAAAATTCACATATATAAAAATAGTACATTAAGAGTTTTTTTAAAACTACAAATCACCCTAAATAAGAAGTAAACCATAACATTTAACCTTAAAATAAGAGTTTTATCTCCAAAATAAGAGTTTACACTGTGACATTACTACATTATATAGTGGCATCCCACTGCTTTTTGGTTATATATATTGACATTATTTGCATAGTAGCCCCTATTTTGAGATAAAAACATGGAGATTCTATTTATGCACATTCTCTATATTGTAATTCTAGCTAGTTTAGCATTTTCCCCATCTTTAAAACAAGAGTTAAAAACTACTTTTTTACATAAAATGACTAGTGAAAATTGTTAGAATAAGTGACCAACGCTAGAGGGGGGGTGAATAGCGTTTGATCGTAGAAGTCGCAGGAATAAAAAAATTAAGAACGTGAAAAGTAAAGAGCGTAGAAAGCGTAAAGGGAGCACACCAAGATTTATACTGGTTCACCACAACGTGTGGCTAATCCAGTCTCCCGAGAGACTCTCTCGAGCTACACTACTTCCGTTAAGCTTACGGGTGCTTAACAAACCGTTACAACCTGAGAACTCGAGTCCCACGAGCCTCAACAACCTTGCTCGGAGATACCGCACTCCAAGACTTCAACCCGAAGGAAAATACCTTTCCTTCGTACAACCAAGGGAAACAAGCTTCCCTTAACCTGTATACAACACTAAGACACTCAAGAACAAGACTCTCCTTAAGAGTAGATATTGAGTAAACTGTATACGCTCAAGAGCAACTCAAACTTCACAAATTGGCTCTAGAAAGCTATGAAAAATGATGTTGTTTGAATGCAATGATAATATGAATATTGTGAAGTGAATTGGTGAGAAAAGCAGACCCAAACACCCCTTTTTATAGTGCAAAATTAGGCTCCAACGGACCAATGCATTAAAGGAGTGATTAGCTTGATTTATGGGATTGAAAAGANAGGGACTGCTTACCCATCGATGGGAAGATCTTCCCATCGCTGGGTGGCATGATTCTGGAATCCCGGGATCACTTACCCATGCATGGGTGAAATCTACCATCGCTGGGTAGATGGCTAGCCCAGAACCATGGCCTAGCTGACCGGCGCTGAAACCCGACCGAAAAATGCAAAGTTCTCCAAAGTAAAAACTAAGTATATAAAACACTTATTTAATGTATTTTGATGTCAAAACAAGCTTTGTAAGTTGAAAACCACGTCGTTAAGGTAAAAACCACGGTTGACCAAGTCAACACCGTACACGGGTGGTTTTCACCAAAAGACAAAACCGAAAGGTGGTTTTCATGATGTTTTGATTGGAGAACCATTTAAATACATTCAAAAACAAATCCCACACAAAAAGACTCGAAAACCACTTCTTTTAAGTAAAAACCGCGGCTAGCCAAGTTAATGCCGTTTCACATGGTTTTTATCAAACGACAAAAAACGAAAGGTGGTTTTTGAAGTGTTTTTGATGAAAAACTATTTAAATGTGCCCAGAAGTAAAAACCAGTCATAAAAAGTTGAAAACCATTTGGTTAGTTCGGACGCCAAAAACCAACGCCGAAAACCGAATGCCGAATGCCGATTGCTGGTTTCTGAAACCCGAACGCCAGATGGATTGGTTTTTGGTTTGGGCGAACACCAAGTGTTTTTAATGTTTTATACATCTTTGAAAAACATTTTTATGATGTGTGAAATGCATTGAAAAGAATTTTAGCCTAAAGAGCCAAGGTGTAAAGATTGGGTCGGTCTTGACCACAATAAAGACCGACTCAACGATGCTAAGACTAAGGTCTTCGTTCTTGGTCTTCGTTTGGCTCTTGCTCTTATCTTCGTTCTTCGCCTTGTATATTCATTGTTTGACTTGATCACGGCGGTTTGGCACTATCAAAACCTGTCATAAAAACGAACACGGCTTTAGTACGAAAACACGATAAACCCGTGTTTCAACAATTTCCCCCTTTTTGATAATGGCAAACAAGACGGGGTTATGCATAGGAGGATTGATTTGAGACTTTAAAAAAATGTTCCCCCTTAATAAATGCAATTTTCTTTTCAATAAAGTTTATGTGTTGAATAAGAGTTAGTTTTAGAAAAAGTTCCCCCTCAATCTATGCATAACCTTTATATCTTCCCCCTTTTGACATTAACAAAAAGAATTAAAAGTAAACTTTTATTCATTAAAAGGGAAATGCAGAATACAACGAATAAAAATACAATCATATTTAATAAGGAGAAAATAAAGAAGATGTCGTGGCATCGGTGTTGGCCTTCTTCTTTGAAGCCTCGGTTTTGGTCCTTGACTTTCCTCTGGCCATTGTTGAAGCGTTTAGAAAGTGAGTAGAAAACAAGGCTGCCTTCCAAGCGATGGTAGAACTCACCCATCGATGGGAAGGTGGCTACTGGAAATCCGAGAAGACGCTTAAAAAAAATAGTGTCAAACACCCAGCGATGGGAGAAAGTTTCCATCGATGGGTGGGGAGGTTCTGAAAAAAATTTTGAAACTGAAATCATTCACCCAGCGATGGGATAAAAGACCCATCGATGGGTAGGGTGTTTCTTGAAAAAATATTTCGACAAAAGTCCTTCACCCAGCGATGGAATGAAATACCCATCGATGGGTAAGGTATTTCTGGAAATCCGTTAAAAGGTTTTTAAAAAATAGAGTCAATCACCCATCGATGGGAAGAAGCACCCGTCGATGGGAAGAGGGGTTCTGAAAAAAAGAAAACTTCCCTCCCAGCGATGGTATTGCCCACACATCGCTGGTTCCCCCTGATTTCCAGAATTCTTCACTTTGAACCGTCCCTGCAAAAAAGAATAACACTTTGGTACCCAAAGTATGTCTATGGGTCCTTGGGGGTTAGTTGACCTTTATTACCCACACACACCCAAAATTCGCACACACACACACACACAATTAAATGATTGTTTAGGAGTTACCTTGGCCAACCCATTGTCTAGTGGTTGGCGGGTTCCAGTCTACCTGAACGGAGTGCCGATATCTCGGTGTGGTCTGTGTTGGTTCCGGTAACGGAATGTGGACTTTCTTCTTTTCGTCAAAGTAGAAGAAATAATACGGTTTCTTTTGTGCACTATCCTGTGGAGATTGTTTATGATTCGAATATCCTTTTCCAAAGGATTTCTTTTCGTCAGCACTAAATATGGTGTGTGTTTCATTAAAGGTCAAGTGCCTATGTCTAGTGAAACACACGGGAGCTATATGTCCTACCCTATTGCAATAATGGCATACTACATTTGGGTTGAACATATGCCTAGGTTGGTAATAGCTAGGGGGTCTAACCATATTCATCCTATTTTGAGAAAATATTGGTTTTTGGGTATTTTGAAGATTCTCTCTTCTAG